TAGGATTGGTTGGTTTTGCTTCTGTCACAAAGACACCGCTGCTTCCATCCTTGTTATGACTCAGTTCACCTTTCTCCTTCCCATTTCACCTCCTCCCTCCTTTCACTTTCTCAAAATTCATTATACAAAAAGTGATAGCTGATCTTGGACTATGACCGGTTTTATTATATTGGTGGTCTAATGGGTAAAGTCTCGGACAAATTGACATTGAGGTTGGTCTTCTTGCTAAGTAAGTTAGCCTGCTGCTGGTGGTAGAGTGGTATCTTATCTAACGCTTAGCAAGAAAGCTATATCTATGTATTTGTACTTCAAGAAAGAGGTTTTCATGCATATATCATATATCAACCCTGCAACCCCTCTCCTTTCGTCTCCCCTCTCCCTCGGCGCTGGGTTTGGTGTTCGAGCAGTGAAATGAACCTCTGTTTCCAGACCTCTCATTTACATCATCCCCCCTCATCACTCTCTCTTTGTCCTGATCCCCATCCTGCTTTTCCAACTCTTTCACCCCTTCTCCACCCAAATCTTAGACCCATATACCCTTCATTCCTCTCATCTCCCTCCTCCCTCTTGTGCTCCTCATCTCCCCCACATCGCTCTTTCCTAACTCATTGTTCCCCGTGTTTAATTAAAAGAAGTTAGCCAGTATCCCAGTTTATTACGTACATTACTTACACAAACCACAAATTGTGCATCATATAAGTAATGACAGCTCTATACTGCAAAATTATGTGCCGTCAAATAATGAAATTGCGGCTCCACGTATTGGCTAATTATTTGGGGTGAATACTCCCCTGCTACTTTCTGTTTTGTTAGACTTATGCTGAAGTGAACCACTGTTTCCAGCTCGCTCTCTTGCTGCAAAGCTGTCATTATTCCATGATAGGAAAAGAATGAGGGAATGTGTGTGACTGATGTAAACAAACATGGCTAATGAAAACGAATGAATCTTTTTGTGCTTTTGACACATAGACGTCCCTGCCCAGATACAGCACGTACACATTCACATGTACACCCATGCACACACACACACACACACACTCATCTCGTGCCAGCGCCCCTGCAGTGTGAGTGTAATATAGTGTTGAGTGGCTTTTGGCTGAAGTTTAAATCCAATACCAGCGGAATTACGCTGGCCAATAATCAGCTATGATGCCATACCGACCTCCGCCAGGGTCCTTTGTCCTCCTCCCTCTCCTGCTGTTCTGATTCACTGCCTGCAGGTACCGCTGGAAGAGCACGTTCTTCTCTCGTTCCTGTCTTATTTTATTATCTTGTCTACCGGCTTTCAACCCCCCTCTCATCCCTCTCTCCATCTTTTACATACATCATTTTATCTGAGCATCACATGAACAATGCTGTCAAAACACAATGGAATAGGGTGTAATAAACTCCTCTCCTCTTCCTCAGGTGTATGATCGGGAGCTAGAGAAGGTCGATGGTTATGAAGGGCTCTCAGATTTCTGCAAGACTTTCAAACTGTACAGAGGAAAGACTCAAGATGAAGGAGAAGATCCTTCAGTTGTGGGAGAGTTCAAGGTAAAAAAAAAAAATTGTTTTCTTTTTGTTATATCCTCTCCAGTTCCGATATAACTGATACTTCTACACTACCTAGCACCCACCCCTCTAATTTATCTTTTTAATTATTTAATTGTCCTAGAGTTGCAAATATTAGTCGATTAATTTATTCGTTGTCAACCTGTTAAATTAATCTTCCGCTATTTTGATAATCCATTAATCGGTGTGATTCATTCTCTGATTTTAGCTTCTC